CATTCATACAATCTATTGAACTTCTGTATATCTGACTATAAAAAATTGCTGATAATCTTTCTATATTTTCCAAATCCTAATTACTGGCAATATATTATAGGGAAGCTTTTAAACAGAAGCCCTGGCTTTCTATAATTCAATGTACATATCATGTGATTTAACTAGAGTATGAGTTTAAGAAAATAAAGCAAATCAGATGATTCTTCAATTTGTCCCTTGATTTCATTCTTAGGTTCATTGGAATGTAAAAAGCATGGGAATGTCAAACAGATGGAAGTCAAGTTTGATTTAGATTGCAATTTTTGTCTGTTTTTTAATTTATTTTTAATTTTTAAGGTAACTGACAAGCAAAATGCAGGTTTATAACAAAAAGAGCATGTATCCTAAATAACTGTTAAGCAGGCTCTTAAAAAACTTCGCTACCACAAATATAAATAAATAAATAAATAAATAAATGCGATCAAATTATAGGGAATTATAAATCAAATGTAGCATTTAACTATAATACTACATAATTCTAAATGGAGAGGACAAAGTCATTTTTCACTGGCTTTGCCACATTGTGTTAGTTGAGACAGGAGGGCAGGGTTGGAGAATGCATCGGTTGAGATACTTGTCACATTTGATGCAAAGCCACAAGTTGCTGTTAAAAATTGTTCAAACAAAAGGAGTCATCAGTTCCCACACATTTGCACAGAGCTTTGAAACTGTTGCAGGAATGATAATATTTGCATTCTAAAATGTTTCATATTCAGTCAGTTCATTTTCACTGGGGCTTCAAAATAAATAAAAATACATTCTAAGATTTTTTTTCGTAATTATGTCAGATAAGCAAAATGTGGCTAGTAATACATCAATCAACCTTCAGAAGATTCATTTTCCTGAGATTCAACTTTTAATTCTGAAGTTTGTTTTACAGAAGCTCTTTGACGGAATTTTGATTTCTTTAAACTTCTGCGAAACCCTGTAGCTGTAATACAAAATATAGTGATTCTTAGTTTTGAATTCATACATTTTTTTCTTCATTTTAAGAGTTCAACAAGTATTAAAATCAGTCGGTAGTGAAAGTCATGGTCTAAATAAAATTCTTTCCAAATTCATCAATTTATAGAACGAGTTCCTTTTACTTAAATACAAACTGTTTTACATCTAATATTTCATAAGCTGACATTTTTAAAATAAGCAATAAAGTGCAATGTTCTATTTAGGTTATCATAAATCAATGCATCACACTATGCCACCTAAACAGCTAAATACAAGCAAAACACACTGCAAGCTGGAAACGTATCAAATACAGGACAAAATCTGTGAAAAGATAAAAAGAGAAAGCAAAGATAAAATTTTGCTCTCTTTCTGAGTGAGGTTTTATATTATCAGAATAAAAAGTGATTAAAAACAAACAACAAAAGTCATTAAAAGTGCTACCAGTACTATGCAGCTACAAATACTCTATATGCAGCCGAAAGCTCTCCAGCAGTGCATATGTACATGTATGTGATTCAAATATCATAAAAAGAAAAAACAAATCAAGTATGTTGTTTATGAACTCTGTAGAGGAAGAATAAGGGAAGGAAAAGGAGACAGGTAGGTTTATAATGAGAAATTATTTTTACCCATTCGAACCAATTCCGATTTTCTGCCTGAAAGTTGGGTTAAATGGGTGATAATGAAATTATAAATAATCTATTTCAAAAGCTTTAGCAGCTCTGTCGGTACCATCAAGGCAGACCAATTCCCCCTCTTGTGAATACAATAAATTTCAAATGTTTAATGTGTATTAGGCACTGGAAGTTGAGCCTGGATTGAAGTTAATAAAGAGAAATGAGTAGAATAATCTTTTAATCTGCATTTCACTTTAAATATTTTATCTACGGCAAGAAATAATTTAACATGAAATTCCCATGCTCAAGTATATTCTCTGTCAAAACATCATTGTATAGACAGAGGAATTTTACAGAAAAACTTTCATCTGTGTCTCTAACACTATTTATCATAATGCACATTTATTTTAGTACTAGCTGGTTTTTAAGAGTTAATTCTCTCTATTTCCTAAAACAGTTAATTAGGACAGTATTTCAAGGCATGGGGCTTCTAAATGATGTCAAGTTCAGATGGTTCCATCATGTGATATCGTACAATCCAACAACCTTAGGGAGAGGGCCGACAACAGTGTAATATGCATGCATTCCACAAGCCATATGTTTAAATGTAAAGGCATGTTCAAACCAGGTCAAACTTAAATCTGTTTTCACTTAGTTTAACTGACATAAAAAGCAATAAAAACAGGTCATCGGAGTGGGGTGCTGGAGCAGGGATGAGCCTCTTGCACCTTGGCTGTTCAATTCAGCATTAAGCAATAGCATCCTCAACATGGTGATGTCAGTTACAACTATCCGAGTTTAAGTTGAACCTAGTCTGAACTTGTCTTTAAACTGAAATGAGCATGCATTGATTAAGTTTCTTATGGATTCTGTTTTATATAAAGAATTATTTTCAGCGATGAGTATCTTCGGGTCTTTTTTTGCCAAATTCTGTTTCGGCCTAATGCTGTAACTGACAGTCTGCTAAAGAGCATGGTAAGAACACCTCCCTTCTACTCCCCCTCCCCCCTCCCCCCCCCCTATTTTGTGTTTATTGGTGGCAATATCGCAGGTTTTAAGGGTAGAATCATCATGGTGGATGTAAAAAAGCTTTAGATTGATTTTAACAATATCATATGACAGATTATGAAATAGGCAAAGACAAAATTCTGGAAAATTTCATAAATGATGGACTTTCAGTCAAAGCTTATTTCTTCAATAATTTTTGAGAGGGGGGCTGGGATTATGTGGTTTAGGAATAGGTATCTTAGAATTGACAAAATTTGGATGAGAGCTTATTCTTAAGGTGATTTTTAAGTTGATCAAGTTTTTCAGGATCAGGGTGTACTTATACTTACTTTTACCTGATCCCTTTTTGTTTTTAGCAGATGATCCTTGTAACATGTTGTCACTGTGGCAGGCATGGTACTCCCCTGTTGTAAAACTGGAAACCCCCACACCAGCCTTTCCGTCTTTCATATAAACATTTTGGGATAGATCATTTCCAAGTCCATATTTAGACAATTGCATTCCTTCACTTTTGCGTTTAGACTTCACAGAAGGGATATTTTGAGTGAACAAGAAAGGATCACTCATTTTTCGAGGAGTTCTCATATTTGGAAGAGTGCTTCGAGCAAGGAAAGCCGTGACACCTTGAGAGTGAGTCAGACCAGGAGACTGGGAATTACTGTCAAATCTAAAGAATGAACTGTTAGCTAAGTGAACATCAGTTTTAGCTGCCCCTTTACTAGTTTTATCTTTCTTTTTCTTCTTTTTAGCTGTGGAAGATTTAGCATCAGCCACAATAGAGTTTACTTTTGAGGAATCCCCTTCCATTTCAGTTTTACCATTTTGTTGCTGGACAGAACTGTAAGATGTATACCATGCACTTTGAGCAGCCATCAAATCAGTTTCAGCTTCAGGGACAGAATAACTGTCACATGTCATCACCTCTTTTGAGTGACCTTTGGGGGCTTCAATTTCAGGGGCTTCAATTTCACAACCTGTTTTAAAATCTAACTGACTCTGATCGAAAGTTGCGGTTGAATTTCGAGATTTCTCGATCGCATCACACTCACTTTTTGATGATGACTGGAACCGCCCCCTGGCGCTGATTGGTCGCATTTGAACGGAGTCGTAACTCTCGTTGGATTGGAGTGTCGCAGGTAATGTTGCGCTCTTTTTAAAGGAAGTGCTATGTTGTAGGCTTTCTGCTGGTCTGGGTCTCTGAATAAACAGTAATATTTTGTTTTTCATTGTAAAAAAAATTGGTAGGAAACATGGTATGAAAGCAGTGTATAACAACTTTAAAATGAGGCCTTCTTAATGACTTATGACTTGAGAGTAATTTTATCAAAAAAAAAAAAAAAACATTTATATTCATTGCTTATAAATCTTACAATATTCCTCTGTGCTCATTTTACATGTAATTTCAAACTAAAAATAACTATCAAAAATCAATGCAACTGTCAATTTACAACTTTAAACTTAAAAAAATCAAAATCTGAAAGAAAAATATTAATACTGGGACTCAACCAAAAATCTTACAAATCGTTTGATAGCCTTTGAGATGTCTGAATGCCATTCCTGCATAACTCCCTGGTCATCTTGCTGTAAGAGGTATTGTTGAAGTTCTAAGTCCACTGTGCAGCTTAACTGAAAAAAAAAAAAAAAAGAATTATTAACAAAATTACATTAACTACTTAAAATATCTGTTGTTGACGCCAATTTGAAAAATATCACAGCAATGCAAATGTTCCTTCAGAGATATAATACAGAGAAGAAAGTACACATAAATTTTACAAAATTTAACTAAATTCTGGACACATGAACCTGAATCAGATTTCAAGATTCATCTATAAGGTGTTCAACTGAGATAACATATTCACAAATTTCTTGACTTAGGATGACACATGGTGAACTGTCAGCAAATACCTAGTTCTAGTCACTGTGAAGAGGGCGAAACATCAAGAAATTTTATTCATAGAATTGTAAGCCAAAAAATAGAAGTTACCTCTTTTTTAATTTCAATAACCTCTGCCTACAATGCTAATTATTATTAATTAAAATTTGACGATCATTTTATTACCTGCATTGTGCCAAAATAGTAAAATACGTCTTGCTGTCTCTTGCATGATTATGGTGACGATTAAGTAAACTGACCCCCCCCCCTCCCAAACTATAAAATGTTATTACATCATAAATTCCAGAGCTCACACCAAACGAGTCAGTCATGTTGTCAAGGCCCTTTGAAGAAGGGTTGGAATGTTATACCCCAAAGGTTAAAAGAAGTTTTTACTGGCATAATTTAGAAAAAAATGCCCTACTGGCATAAATAAGACACCATATTTTTAAAAGCATTATGATACCTGTATGGTGTTCTTTTTACTGGAGACTTCTTTGCCGGCCCACTCCACGTCCATCTTTCCCACCTCAAACTCCTGGTCTGGTTTACCTTGCTGCTGAAAGTAGAAATAATGAATTGGCTTTTACAGATATCAAGCATTTATTCTTCAATCAAATATTCTACAGTGGAAGTATGTCCAGAGAGAGAGAGAGAGAGAGAGAGAGAGAGAGAGAGAGAGAGAGAGAGAGAGAGAGAGAGCGCCTGCACGTGCGTGTGCGTGCATGCAGGAGTAATGTCCAGAAGTTAGATAAGGCACCCTGTACTTCTTAATATTAACAGAAATAAAATTTTCATTCAATAATTAGATACAGTTAAAGCAAGGCAGAATTTTAAATGTTTTATGTCCGTTCTTCATAATTCTGTAATGTGTGTGTGCATGTGTGTGTGTGTGTGTGCATGTGCATGTGTGTGTGTGTGTGTGTGTGTGTTTGCGTGTGTGTGAATTAAGAAATTCAATATAATATTATATCCTTGCAGAAGCATACACTCTTACCCCTACAGCACTTTTAGTATCCTTATAAAAGAAAAGTTTTGGACCTGTGAGAACGATAAAGATCTGTGACCAATTTTTCCTGCAACAGAAAAACATTAAAGTATACTTTTGTAAATATAAGCAAATGGTCATTTCTGTATATATAGACATTTGGAATATAAAGAATAATTTACATGCATTATAAATTTTACCACAAGTACACAATCAAAACTATGCAAAACTCATTGCTTTTGAAAAAATTAATGTTATCTCAATTTCTTGTCTAATATACGGTAGAAACTTGAAAATTTCATCAGTGAAAAAATATTTAACTTTTAATAAGTGTGGTTCCAATGCAAAAAATAATAAAAAAATATATGATTTTGTCTAAGGCAGTTTGTATCAATTTCTAATTGAGCATGGATTGTAACAATTACACTTGGTCTTACTTCAACTTTTTATTTCCATCCATAATTTTTGTCACTTTGAGGTATCCTCTTTTTTCTGGAGGCTGGAAAAAGATAAAAAAATAATATTCAAATTGGTGTTGTAATTTTAATCATGTCTCACATCCTTTGATTTGCCTTATTATATATTACATCATTATCATTACAATTTCTACATGCAAATGAACCAAAAATTGACATTATTCTCTTTATTTATAGTTATTAAAAATATACCAATTCAAGGGAGGAGGGAAATGTGAAAAGACAAAAGCAACAACACTCCACACAAATCACTGTGATCTGGATTTCAATTATTTCAAACACAAACACAAATAAGCATAGCACTTCAAACCACTACAGTGTCCTAATATTTTACCTTCACAATGCTTTCTTAAATTGCCATTGTGGATTTTTTTGTATATAGACTGACCCAAAGCTTCAGTTTGGTTATATTAATATAGTTTTTTCTAAGTTGATTTGTTCAAACATGTTATATTAATATAGTTTTCTAAGCTGATTTGTTCAAATATGTTATATTAATATGGTTTTTTCTAAGTTGATTTGTTCATAAGTCCAACACTTATAAGCTATGACATACAATATGCATGGTAACCGTAGTATATCATCATATATTACTAAATTAAATTTAAGGTTTTCAAAGTATTCTGGCCTGAAATGCTGCACAGGAAATTAGTTCTGTTAAGTTTGCAAATTGTTTACAACAAAATAAGTAAACTAACACCTTAAGCACCAATTTTAACTTAACATGCAACTTTTTGACTTCTAACATTGTTAATATCTCAGAGGGCTTGCAATTTGAATGTTAGTAATAAATCCATAACTCACTATCAACCTAATAATTATACACTAATTTTTATAAATTTAAAGCAGGTTCACAAAAATCACTGACGTACAGGAAGGATAACAAGGATCCTTATTCCACTATGAAATGACATATCCAAAGTGTATTGAATCAGACATCAGTTCTGTAGGGTACCAACAATATAAGACATTTTTCTGCTGTCCATCTACCAGTTTTTAAGCTTCAGTCTCTCCTCTGTCTCATCCTTTTTTTAAAGAGAGAAGCATTTTCCAGTATCGAAGCTAACTCGCAAGTCACCAGTACCGAAGCTAACTCGCAAGTCATTAATACATCTCTCTGAAATCTTCATCCAACCTGATGAAACCTGGATCAAAGCTGATGCCATTTTTAATCCAAAGACTTTCTATCAGTTCTCAAACTTCAGGCTCTGTTAAATCTCCTTTTTCTAACAGGCATAAGAATTTGCAATCATCATAGCTCCATCAGGAATCCCAAATATGTATCTTAAAGCTTACAAAGGTCAGCATCACAGTTACTGGCTTTTTAATTGCAGTGAGGTGCACGCTTCGTTCCCAAATTTTGACCACTGAGTGACCATGGAGTTGCCGGCCTGACACATACACATTCTGACTTTTCTGCAATTTTTTTTCTTTTGCACTATCGCTGTTATACCCAAGAGCTACAATACCTGTGACTGCAAGCAAATGAACTGTGAACAGTCTAAATTATAATTTAGAGCTCCTCTTGTCCATCAATTCGGGACAGTAAAAAACAAACATATGGCAGCCTCAAGCTATCAAGAGCAACCTTCACTTTTTTTAACAATACGAGTAACCTTGATATTTTACGACAATGACTGCTTCACCTACTAATAACACCATACCCCCCATAGCAATCTATCCCTATAACATGACAGAACTATGAGCTGCATGTATATTTGCCATAGCCAGACACATCTAACAAATTTTACGTATGCCGATGGCATCAATTGAAAGTTTGGGAGCAATACATGGATTCCAATGTCAAAAACTGCTCATGCTATGGATGCCATAAGCTTGTTAAGTGTTCGCCAACAGCTTTCGGTATAACCCTTTTCAGGAATAACCACTAGCTTTCTAGGAGTTTACCAAGAACATTGTCGGAGTTTTCCAAGCAATTAACTTATGCTGTACACAGCTTTTACCTAAACCTTTCATAGAGTTTACCTTTCAATCAGCTCTTCAGGGATGTTTATTTAAAGAAACAACTCTACAACTCCTAACAAACTATGGTCTATAATACATTAACAGTTTCCTGCTTGGCAGTTAGCTTCCTGGCAAATCTAACAACTTCCCCAGCTCTAGGCACTATGATTTTTACTGTTCGCCAGTGTCACATAAAAACCAGCATTATCACTTTTGATGATCATTTCATAATCAAAATGTAGCCTTCATCCTCACAACTGATGATTCAGAACATATAAAATATAACCAGCATTCAATACACCCTTTCTTATATCATGCAGTATTAAACATTTTATATTATATTATATTATATTATATTATATTATATTATATTATATTATAAGTAAGTCCTATGTTTGAACTCATTGAGCTTCTATCTATAAAACAAATAACAGCACAGCAGGTCCTGTATTACTTAATAATTAGCAGGACAGCATTTCTGTATAAATCAGCAATTAGTACTAGCACCCCTTCCATCACATCTAAACAAAAACTGATATAATCATAGTATTAATAGAATATTAGCAGATAATGCCTATATTCTAAATAAAACACTTGGTTTACAGATATATGGCCACAATATTGAGTGATTTTAGAAATATATCTGTAAAACAAGTGGCCTGTGGGGGCTTCAATGTGCAGTGAGAATTACACTGGGTTCCCACAAACCTATCATACTACAATGATCGATCTAAATCTGACGGGATTCTTGATAAATTGCATTCAATTCGATCTAGTTAGTATGATAGGGTTATGGATATGGTCCCCTACAGGGGCTGCGAGTTCCCATCACCCTAAAACAAAACTCAACATAGGTGGCACTAGTGGCACCATCAAAAAACACTAGAAATACATGTAGGTGGCACTAGTATCATCCTTTTCTAAATACTAAGGATAGATGGCGCTAATAACACCCCTCACACAATACTACCTTTGGTGGCTGTGGTGCAGGCCCTTTCTTTCTATGGCTATACTGTCGACGAAAAGAAATAAAACAAAATAACAAATAGCCACTGGAAGGAGGAAAACCACAGAGGAGAAAGTAATGAAATAAAGAAGCAACAAACAAGTTCAGCAGTGTTTACATTGAATGATCTGGACACCAAATAAGCTAAAAAACTGAAAAACATAAATAAAATTATACACCATTGACCTCATCAAAAACTAAAGCAAACTTATGAATAAAACGTAGAAATCAAGAACATAACAATTAACAATGACACAAATAAAAGTTAAAATTTGGAAAACACCAAAGCATCACTCAAAGCTCACACAAATCAAAACAGGTTAACTTCAAAAGCAAGCTGAAGTGTTACTCCTATGTTTAAGCCAAGATAAAATTCAATTTGAAAATGAAGTTAAAAGAAAAGTGTGTTTGTAACATATTATTATCAGTGTCATCCATAACAGTTTTTTTGGCATATTTCTTGGTCATGTAGTGGTTATACCAGTCAGTGTGTAAGAAGCTAAGGATGATGACTGAATTTGTGCATTAGCAATTAGTAGTTAACAGAAATAATATTTTTAATGTACATTTTTTCATATCATTTATCAACTGTATGGTGTAATTAAGTTATATGTTATTATAATTATTGTTTCCATACAACAAACTCTTGAAAATGTATGTACTGTAAGGTCTAAAATATTATGTGTTCTTATTCATAGGTTGGTTTAGTAATGAAAATTGAGTGACGTTACATTTTTTCTATCTAAAATTAACATTTCAGTTGTACAGCTGAAAGGTAATTGTGCCACAAATTCTCCAAAATGTCTTTCAATAGTGAAATGTTTCTCCCTTTTTCTTTTTTCTTCAGGAGGAAGCAGATTTTTGGACTTTATTAAATTTGTAAGCTTAGCCAAATGCAAAAGAATGAATTTAGAAATTGCATTTTGTCCAAAATAATTAATCATCAGGACCTAAGTTACAAACTACGCTGGTTCAGTGATGTTCATAACACAGATTATGTGTAACGTGAACACTGTTATATGAGTATCCTCCAAAATGCAATACGAAATATGTCTTCGAATACTCAAGCTGCAAGCATCACAGAGAGAAAATGCAAAAATACATCAAACATTATACCCTTCAGCATAATAGTAACACTGACGATGCAAAACTGGCACAAAGAAGTCCTGTATATGGAAACCTCTGTCTGTCCAGAAAACTTACATATTATGTTGTCCAGTATTAACAACTTTGCGTAATCAGGGCAGATGTTCCATATGCAGCTTACTTCTTAGTAGGTATCATTTCTTGGGAATCTTCTGCACAATTTTTCAGTTGATATGATACAATTTGACTAGTTTTGTTTGGATTTTTGAGTCAAAAATGAAATGTTGGGTTTGATTTTCTGAGTCAAAAATTAAAGAAAATACTCAGTGTTTGGGTTTTTTGTTTACAATAACAGAAAAAATATTCATCATAATATTCTATATGGCTCTTAAACCACCAAATTTTCCAGTTGAACCCTGAGGAAATTTCATGTAAGTAACTGCACAGAAGTTTCATACAATAAAAGGGATATACATGCTTATTTTCTCCCCAAAAAGTTGTCATGTATTAATTTGTGGCATTTGCAATACTATCCTTTAATTCACATGACAAGAACTTAAATAATCTAGTTCAGGAAATATTTTGAAAACAGATCTGTATATAGTGAACTATAAACCATGTATATCCCTTCACGCTCTGACACTTGGAGATCTTTTGTCATCTTGGAAATAAAAAGCTTTACCAATTTTCTAACCTTGTGTCATAAAGATATTTTATCAAAGTTCTGTATACTTTTTTGAGAAAAGAAAATCTTTTGAAAAAGTTTGGTCAGTGAATTTTTGCTTTTGAGCTTGATGTTCTCATATCTTTATTAAAAAAAAAAAAACTTGCTGGAATCTTTGTGTCTGGTTGGCAATTTTGGGATATTTCACAAAAGGAAAAAAAAATCTCCCAAGTTCATCAAGGCCTTCACAACATTAGCAACCCTGAGTTTCACAGCATCAACAGTGATACTCGCATCTATCAAATGCTGAGCCACCATATTGATAAACTGTGAAAATTCAGGGTGACTATGAGCGCATTCACATCGAGAAGAGCCGAGGTCAAATATGGTGGACCTACATGAAAGGAAGACAGCAGAATCCTTTAATGGTCTCTCAATGATTACATGGTCTTCCTTTCATGTAGGTTCACCATATTTAGGTCTCGGCCTTGCTAGACCTCGGCTCTTCTCGATGTGAATGCTCTCTATAATCATGCAATGACCCATATAAAGTATCTAGGTCACTGATTCATGCTACGGTTGTCAAATAAGCGGCAGCACCACTTGATACACCTACATCGCTCTCCTCTAGTCTAGAACTAACAAGATGCAGAAAGGAAGGTCTGTGCGAGTGGTTAGGTAAAGTACTGGTACGCATTAATACCCGTTGCCGTGGTGATTGTGACACCTCGCCCGGTCCAACTGGGGCAGAAGGTCGCCGTGCGCCTCCGCTGCCGCCATGTTGGTCTGTGGGATCAAGGTCTGCGCTGAACTCTCTTTCGTCAGGTTGCGAGTCGTTGGAGAATTGTCTTTCGTAATCCAACTGAAGAAGAAAAAAATAATGAATTTAAATCAATTTTCACAAGAAAAATGATAATCACAATTATAGCAACAGCTGGTTACACAATTACATGCATTGCTTGTTAATCTATCAAAAGATTCCTGGCTTCGTTGAAGAAAACTAGGTTGATAGATGAGCATGTCTATGCATATATTAAGAGATTTAAGGTTCACAGTATTTCATTTTCTCAAATAGCATTAAGAAAGATTAAAGAACAACCAGTCAATAGTTAATTGTTAGCCGGTAACTTTGGCATGTACTTCAACCAGCTAAAAATAGAACAAAAACAGCACAGCCTTTTAACGTAAAACTGAAACATTAAATAGTAATGGTGACATCTTTCTCTACAGACATAGAAATAGTGACATCTTTCTCCTCTGACATGCAATCACACACAATAGCACTGTTGACTATGAATGAAAATAGTGTTTCACGAGTCGTTCCTTTTGATGTGTAAATTTAAAATGAAACAAAAGAACCATTTGGCACTAGTGGGACAAATGTTGCAGAAATATAACCAAAAAATATACACAAAAATTTAAATAACCCCTGTAAAAATTTCTGATTTTTGTACTCAGCCTAGCTTTTCATCAAAAAAAGGACCCTACTGAATTTGAAGTTAAAACAAAATTAAGTTTTGTACTAATATAAAAAGCATCGTGTTAACAAGTAAAAAAATGGCAAAAATATTTTCTATGTGACTAGAACTTCTACATGAGTCATCTACAAAACCTAAATATTTTAGAGATCTTATGAAGCTGTCAGCAGTATCACATGATTTCTTTACAATGACTCTATCTTATAACAAAATTTCCCACTGAGCTAACTTAGAAATCAGACTGAAACATTTATATATTCTTTACAAATATCATTTGCATACTGGAGAGCCTATACAAGTGGTGCTAGGCATCTCAAGTGTTTGCCAAGAATTCCGCACTAAAATGACATCATTCATTCGAGATGTATAATTTAAAAACAGATAGTCCTCATGAAAAGGTTAAATGCAATGTCTCATTTGTATTCCGCCTGCTTCCTACTAACTAACGATGGCTATTTCCTCTTATATCATCTAGGCACATATCAATTAGTGCTTGACAGTGCAGCATCAGGCTCACTTGCTGTTAGGGGCTCTTCACATTAACCATAATATCGATGTGATACAACTACAACTGTATCGGTATATTTTGAGAGATTGACAACTTAACGGCCTGGCCATTGGATAAGAAAGTCAACTGGGCAGAGTCTCCGCACTGGACATGTCAATTAGTAATCATCTACGGTATACTATACAGCTGGAGGCCAACTTGGAAAAGGGATGTGCACAGTTCAGAATGGAGACATACTTACCGAAATGTCTGTTCATGACAATTGAAAACATTGTGTGAAAAATGTGGATTGATGCTAAATTTTTTCAAGTGTAGAAATACTTGTAAGAAAATAATAAAATTAAAGAAAAGATAATTTTTGTACCTGTGACTATTCTGAAATGTAAATGATAAAACAACATGTATTCCTTCATACAAAAAACAAATAATGAATTAAAAAACCCAACAAATTAAATTTTTAAAAAATCACTACAAGTACCATGTCTGGCTTAATTCCTTAATTAAAGGTCAGCCATGTCCAGACATAAAGTGGGAGGTCAGCTGAGTTGTCCAGATACTAATCTGACCACCACCAAATCTTAGACATACCACCAACATATACTAAGACCAGATGGTATCAGCCTAAGTGCAGGAAATGACCACAAGCATACATATATTTTAGATAATATCCAGGCACTCTTTGCGGCTCTTATCTTAATAAGGTAAATACTAAATTTTTACTTGTAAATACTAAATTTTTTCAACAAGAGAAAAATGTGAAATTTACAGATACTGTATTTTTCATGTCATAATTTCATAAAATTAGAATTTTTCTATTGAGCTGCAGCAAGAAGATTAAAAATAGGCTACTCTGTAGTTCTATTCTATGCAGTAAAAGCATCACAAATATTATTACCGTGCAGAAGTATAATTTTATGTATCTGAAAGTTTGATAATTTTTGCCCATTGAAAAGACCAAGTAATTACCACACTCAGCTTTCTGTGGCCAATCTTTTTTTTTTACATACTGAAACACATGCTCTTAATGCTGTGCTTATCTAAACCTTATCATGTAGATGTTGCAACCTAAATTATACTGTTTTAGTTTTTGAAACAGGTGTTTGGCATAAAAAGTCCTTGTACTACCGACAGAAGTTTTTCAAATTGGTGGCAAACAACTGATAATTGAAAGTTGAAAACTTTACAGAGCTATTATTAGATTCTTGTACCACACAAAGAGAAAAGAATGAAAAAAATTTAGTGCAAAAGATCTCTTTAAATCTCTCTGTATCTCTTTATATTATAACTCATTGTAATAGTATTTGTTCAGAAAATTTGTTACTCTGAACCGATGCACCAATTGTTATCATTACTTTAGGCTAAGATCTAATAAACGTCGGTTTATTAGATCTTAGCTATTTTGTAATTTTGTTGCTACCACAATATTCTTATTTTAAGAACTTACCACTTCAAAATTCTTTTATAATTTTTCCACTGAAAAACCCCAGTCACTGTCATATGTTATGTTTTAAAAATACTGGACTTGACAAGAAATTTCCCTGGTATTTATGACAGTCACTGTCCAATGTCACCTCCATCAGTCACCAAACAACAAAAACAAAAACAACAACCGAAAAGAAAGAAAGACAAAAAAAAAAAAAAAAAAGATAAACAAAATGTCCTTATCTGACCAGCCAAGTGGGATGACACTAGCCCTGAGACAGTGATTTCAGAAAATGTCTTGATATTGAAAATGTCTTGATATCTTAACTTACATAGTTACCAAAATGTTGTCTATTTAGTGCACTTAATGGAACA